TTTTCGGGAGCTCATGCAACATCAGGGGCTAATCACACATGTTGTTTGAAGCTCAAATAGACAAGCCGTATTTGCCGCATCCAATCAGTATGTGCCAGTCGAGCCAGGTGGAAAGATCGTGATGCAAAACATCAAGTGGCAGGGAAGCCCAGACAGATTTCCGTGGCCAGATCGCGTTGGCAGCTTTCAGAGTAGTTCGGTTGAGTCATTGAGGCTATCTACCTCCATGAGAGGCGAGGGCAGGATGAGAAGGTGAAGGAGGTGGGAAGGGTGAGTTAGCAGGTTGCAGGAGATTGCAGGATGTTGTTTCCTTCATGCGCGGCAACAGAACAGACACAGCGAGACAGACAAAGAGTGAAGGAGTGAGAGAGAGGGAGGGAGGAGGGACGACAGAGTCGAACATAGAGTGCAAGGTCCTGAAAGTGCATTGGTCGTTTTTGCATGTTTTGACAGTCTGAGTTTCACTAGGAAGTGAGATACATCCTGTGGCACAAAGCAGGGAGCCGAAACCTCAGCAACAGGTGGATGACAAAGGAGTGCTTGGCGTTTTTTTCGTGGCTACAGTAGATAAAATGATGCAGTTGCGGCGCATCCAAAGCCAATTCAAGGTGTTGACGGTACTGAACGGTTTGTTCGCTTGCAGGTGACCCACCGGTCTTTGAAGAGTCTCCGCATACTCGAAGCTTATTTGCAGCGCATATGATGCACATGTCTTTTTGGATCAGTTCTGAACAGAGCAGTACTGTATCTACTGTACTTATCTGTACTTGAATTCTTCTGAGCTTCGATCATCGAGCTGCGAACGTGAGTGCGGTTCCTTGATCCAGGAAAGGTCCTTCGCTCTGCAGGGTTTGCACAGGCACAAGAAGGCGTTCACGGGTCCAACAAAGAGAACTTGGCAGTTGGGAAACTGAAGGCGAACGAACAAGTGAGAGTTTCGCAACGCAGTCGTAACTTGGCGTTCTACACGGTGATTTGCTGATAAACCATACTGCAGCTCTGATTATTGAGAAGGCCTAAGAATAGACTTCCAACTACAGAGAAATGCGTTTGAAAGCTAAGTCAGACAGACCGTTTACCTGCCCTTTTGCTCAGCACGGATTTTTGTTTTTTCTTGGTTAGGCCCTGCGACCTGGGCAGTGAGGCTCGAGGCGTTTGATACTCAGGAGGCGAAGTTGGTCGACTCGTTTGCCACCAGTGCGCGACCTGCATGGCCACTGCATGGCCACTGCATGGTATGTATTTGGTGGCACTGTGTACGCATGCTTAACCACAAGTTGAGCTGTGTAAGCTTGAGTCTTTCGACATGGTCGTCATGAAAGCTTTAGAAAGATCCTCAAGTTTCACGGAAGATTGGTGCACCAGGACTGTACAAAGCTGAGATGGGTATGAGATCCCATACTGGCTAATGTTCCATGTAGTGTAGTGACATTAGGTGTCCCAAGAAGATCATTTTTCCTGCGTGGTACAGAGTAGGCCTAGTTGGCCTCATCCCCTGATCGTACATTATTGTGCCTCCTCTCACCCATCATCTCGTTTTAATTGCTCCAAACAGCACCTTTGCAATCCACAGCATCCCTTTTTCCCGTTAATTACCCAGATTTGGTTAAAATATGTTATAGAATCAAGTGTCATCTCATTCATCAGTCTCAGTTCAACTCATCTTGCAGGTTCTCAAACATCACAGCGAATTCGATACTAACCATGTCCCTACTTATTATTTTGTTTGAAACCGTCACCTCATGGAATCTCATATACTCGGCTTGTTTGCTTTACCCCAGAGTCTAAAATTGCAGCAAAGCCCATCTAGGATGTCACGACCGAGTTTCATGTCACTCTAGTGACATCTACCCCTTCAGCTTGTTTCACTTTACAAAGTCTAATTTTTGTCCTTTTCTTTCATATGTTGAGCCCTTTGCTACCTTTCGGCTTGGGTATTGGTGGTTGTGCTGAGGTCTGCATCTACAAGCACGCGTGAAATGGGCAACACGAATCCCGAAGCTTCAGGAGAGCATGTTGTAGGAAGTGAGCATCTGAAAAGTTCAGTTGGTCAAGAAAGGGAACATGCGCGGGTGACTACTTGGGGAGGAATGTGTTCGTGTGTTTTGTAATTCTACAAGGACTGGAGTCGAAGCACACTTTGCAAGCTAGTTCAACCAATCCAATCTGCTTTACTTGCACTCTTTTGACCCAATAGAAAGACTTCCTCTTCGTAATTATTTGACTAGTGAGGTGTACTCGCGAGAGCACTACAGTGGGTTACGGGTTGGATGGTTGGACAACAACGAAAACCAGTCAACAGTTGGCAGTGGTTGAGACTTACACCAGTCAGAGACTAGACAGTTGAGGAACATCGCAAGCTCGAGCGGCTCCAATGTCCACCAATACCGGGATGGCTGAGGCAAGGATACCTGTAAAGCCGGGCCGTAGCTGCAGCCGCAGCTTTGGTCAAGACATGTCAGGACAATTCAAGACATGTAGATATATAAAAATGTATGCAAATTTCCACATATATATATGATTATACAAGAATACACGCTGTAGACCTTGTCAAGTAATTTTACACGCTGTAGACCTTGTCAAGTAATTTTACACGCTGTAGACCTTGTCAAGTAATTTGATGTTTCCTGAGTGTGTTTAACACAGCCAACCATGTCAAAGCTATCCAACACATCACACTGGCTTGCTCGTGGGTTGAGACTACCAACGTCCTTGCGCAACGTCTCAAGGTGGACAGAGCTCAGAGAAGCACAACGGAAGGGATTGCAGTCACACAAGGCACCTGAGCAAGAATCAGACCATGCATTCTTGAATTGCTTTGAATTCTCTTTCTGAGGAAGGGTTTTTGCTTGGAAATACAGTTGAAGCAGATATCCTAGCATTTGAGGCTTCAAGATGAACATAAAGGAAAGAGCTAGAAATTGGTGTGCTTTCGCTGGTCGCTTCAGAGGCGGAGATGTTCGAGCCAAGTTGCTGGGATCCTAGCTCTTTCTTCGGACAAAGCCGTTCAGAACAGAAACGTTTAAAGATGTGTAACAGGGTTTGCACCGACATTCAACACCATTCAACTGTTTTGCAGCCATTTCTTTGTTGTGGAGTCGTGGAGTAATTATTGTAGTTCAACATTTAATATATATATAGTATATATATATATATGATTTTTGCTGTGATGACGTTGTATGAGAGTCTTCCTATTTCAGGGCAGTCTGTGGCTTGATGCTACCCCTAAACTGTGTATCTCAGTGAACCAGTGAGCATCCCCGGGGCTCGGGGGCTTTGACCTAGCACCGTTTGCCAGTTTGTGCCTGAGAGATGTTCCAGTTGTCAGCTGAGGTCCTACTTGCTTCAACCCAGAGGCATGCTCCAAATGTCGAAACGTAGCGCTTCAATCAGCGCTTCAATCATTTGAAAGGCCAAGTGTGATGCCTTGTGCATTGATACTTGTTCGTGCTGGCCTTTGCCCAGATGTGATGATTGCTATAGGATGATTGGGTGATATTGGGTGTTTTGGAGACTCTGTGTGTGTTTCCACTGGCGCCTGGCCGCAGGCACTGCAGGACCACCGAAGAAGGCTACTGAGGCGAAACAAGTGACCAAACGACCTCTTTGAAGATGTGGGAAGTTGTTGGATAGGATATGGCCCTGATATATGATATATGGCCAAACATGTTTCGTCCATTTTGCCCGTCCATCTGGCTGTTGTTTCTTTGCGGTACTGTCAACATGCTCGACGTTCCAGCCTCGCGCAGGAAATGGCCGACACTGACCCGGGCAGGATGACGGAGACGCTTTCGCCCAACGCCCAGGCAATTCCTGAGAAGCCAGAGCTTTCGGAGGTGCCGGAGGTGCCGATTTCCGAAGAGGGACGCGAAGAAGTTCAGGTCTCGTCCCAGACAGAGAACCGAGAGGACCTCGGAGAGGATCTCGGAGAGAAATGCCCAGAATCGAAGGGTCCAACGGAAGACGTGCAACGATCCAACGGAAGCTCTATCTGCAAGGTGGCTGACGCAGATGCTGGTGCAGTCAAAGCTACAATCTCTGCGAGTCCAGAGGTCCAACAATCTCCGCCTCCATCTCCTGAGGAGCAAAGCGTGGTCCAAGCGAAGCTGGCATATCTACTAAAGAGACGATGAAGACCGATGAAGTCCAGAAAAAGTTGTGGTGCTCACGAAGTTTGGAGCATTTGGAGCCCCAAAAGAGCCGAAGTTGTCACCAGCGCGCACCACCATTGCGGAATAAGCGCCATGTGGGCAAGGGAAATGGGCATCGCGGCATGGGGCAAAAGCAACACGAGCATCCCCAACAGAACATTTTGTTGATTCTGAGGATATTTACCGAAGACTGAGTAATTTGGTATAGTACAGATATCTACTTAAGGAGATGTCCACCAGACAGCTGAAAACTATACGGGCTCTCCCTTCGGACCGGCATGTACTTTTGTTGTGTGGTGTGGTGTCAAAACCCATGCCAGTTTCGGCACGATAGCCTTCCCAGAACATACACTTAACTTAAGCTTTCTATATCATAGCAGTTCTGATTAGGAAGAGTATGCAGGTGATTTGAAGACATGTTAAACATGGCGCACTCATGCACAGAAGAATATATGTGGATTCGTCTTCCGAGCAGTGCTGGATCACCCAGCATCCTTGAGCACCCAAAGCTGAACGAACAACACTTGCTAAGCTGTGACGATAGCCACTGCAAAGCGGGCCGTATAATGTAGCATGCGGGCCTAGAAGTGACAGTGCCAGTCTGGCAGTCGTAGATACCCGTCTAACCCAACTGTGCATAGTTGTGCACCAGAGTTTCCCACCAAGAATAAAATTCATAAAAATAGAGACGGATATAGATGGACCAGAGGTATTTGCGTAGACCACAGAGACTTGACTTGATGCTGCCATGGAGTGATGCGCAGAATCGACCTTACACAGAATGAATCTGTGCAAAGAGCTTGTGGCTGGCAAAAGAATGTTGCAGAGGAAATCCTGGAGTTCTTGGAAATGGCTTTGGAGGCGAGTTGAGCACGCATTTCATTAAGCTAGTCGTTTGGTTGTTTGTGTTTGTGTCACTGTGTGTGTTTTTCATTTTGTGTATGTTTAAACTAGATACATAATACATAGTACAATCCCTACTTTGCGAAGTCGTGGTTCTGAGATCTCCAGGAAGGCTGTATGTCTCTAACTGAGTCGCGATGCAAGCATATCCTTCAGCCCTTGGAAGACATCGACGGTGAACGTGACGGCAAAGACCGAGGAACGTTTCGGCTGTTGAAGACTGTCTCCATTTTTCTCAGGCGATGGGTCCGACATGGTCCGATGGGCATTGTTACAGTGGAAACGTGGCCACCGTGGCCTCATGTTTCGCATTGTTGCGCTACATATTTTAATGCCTTGTCATTGCATAGAAAAGAGCGGTTGTAGAGAGCAGAACAGATATAAGTCAAGCAACACGTCTACAATTTTTTTTGGAAGTCGATGTCGCATGATGTCGCTTCGGTGATCAACACTGGTGACTGGGTGGGGAGGCTCCGTGGATTTCAGCGTGGAGAGCCACCTTTCCGAGAGATGATCATTGATGGTCAGCCCTTGGTGGGCAAAGGGTGCCGTGCTTTGGAGCAAGCCGTTCATTTGGCACGTACGTCAGCGAGGCTCAGGCGCATTGAGCCTTTTGGTAGCATTTGAGCCTTTTGATTTGGCATTTCCCATTTTCAACATAATTAACAAGTTGTTGCTGTTTTATGGGATCCCTTTGTGCTTTTGTGATCTTATATGCATTTTGAGTGCCAGTCGCTTCGCAGGCTTATCAATTGCCATTTAGATGCCAGCGAGGCCTGTGTGGCCGAGGTCATTCGGCTTGTGACGCTTGGTGTAGCGCTATTGAACAGCTTCTTAAGAGTGTGTCATTGTTCTCAGATGCCCCGACCTGGCTTTTTCTCACAAGTGGATATGATGTTTATCAAAGCAAGTGACGAGACAAGAGGGGTGGTGAAACAACGGTTTTTGATGGTATCTTTTTCGGTCGAGGAAGATGTTGGGCACTGGAAGTGGCAGCTACTTCTTAGAAGAGCTCAACTTGTCTGAGAACAGTTTGGGTGATGATGCCGCTGGTCGCATCATTGAAGCAGCTGTGCGGGACCGCTGCCGTCGGGATGATGCCACAGCCTTATGGCTCGATCTGAGTGTCAATCGCATCAAGAACCCGCAGTCGCTGTTCCAGAAAATGGAGGTTGGGGTTGACCTGGATTGCTGTTACTGTAGTGTGCAGAGCGTACATGGTTCTGCGCTCAAGGTTGTTGGAGGTGACATTTTCCAACACGCAAGTAAGATAGACGTTTCTCTATTTTTTTTTGATAGCAGTCACTGACAGGCTTGGTCATCATGGGCCTACCGAGAATTTGCAATCTGTTTGGCTCAAAGCTGCCTGGCTTTGTTTCATTATATCAAACTGTGCAGAGTTTCAAGATCCAGATATTGCTTGCGTTTGCGCTTCACTTGACACCTTTTGGCTGCGTGCAGTGCAAGCATCCAAGTGCATTGTCAAAGCATAGATTGAAGAAATGTTGGCAGACTCTGAGGCAACATTTGCTCCAAGGAGGACCTGCTCGCAGTCCTTGTCAGCTCGCAGCTTGTGTGCTCGACATTTGTACTTAATGTGTTATTGCTATCAAGATGTTGGCACTGGTAGCACATGCTAGCGCCGCGTTTTGGTTTATTCAGAGTGGATGAATGAAGCAAGATATAGTAAGATCCGCGGAAGAGGATGCGGCCATTCCCAAAGCCTAATTCTCATGCATCCTCACCCCGGGTGTGTGTGTGTGTGTTTGATTTGAAAAGGCATTGCCTTCCCACGATGGAGCTTTTACAGTGCATCAAAGTATTATAGTTTTTTAAGGAAGCGGAGATTCTAGAAAAAGCTAATCAAGCATTTCTGACAAAAATGGAGGGCATGGCTGGGGGGAAACTCCTTGAGCAAACCCTGACATTCATTTGCTTGGCTCAAGTGCTTCTTGCTTCGATGCTCAAATCCTTCCAAGATCCACTAAACTCATTAGGTGCCTCAAACAATGGTACTAGCTGCTAGCTCATACTCCCTGCACAGGGACCTTGCATCCAGAAAGGACGACTTAGCACTCAGACCCTGGACGATTGCGAGACATTACATTGTGTTGTCGCATTGCTTTAGATTCGGCGAATCAAACAGTGGGTTGCATTCCTGACATGTCCTTCCGTTTTTGTCACAGTTGGGGGGGTTCTGGCAGTTTCTGGATTCTGGCAGCAGGAGTGCAAGCATTCCTCACTGGTGCACCTGCCCAGATTCTTTGAGCAGGAACAGAAGGTGCAATGCGGCCGACGAAGCAGATTTTACAGTGTTTTGTTTGAGAAGGAAGACGGCGCTCACAGAATGCATTAGACTCATTAGACAGTGTCCAACAGACCTTGATTCTCTGATGTAAAAAGTTGCTCTATGTTGCAAGAAATTCATGTATATAAATACATACACAGTAGATATATTATGTAACTGTTATTGTTGAGTGATTTGAAGCATTTCTTCAGAGGCCTCACAAGTGGTTCTCATTGAACGAGAAGCGTGCAGACCTCAGAGAATCGAATGCGCTTTTCCAGAGAATCGGAGGAAATCGATATCTCTTGTGAGAGGCAGTAGTATATAGGGGCTCAGTGGTGGAGATATAGGGGCGAGCCTTTTGAGACGGTTGTGTGGTGGAGCATCGTTTGCTGTGTCTCGCGTCAAGATTATGTGTACATATATTATGTACATGTGTCATATAATATGGGATCATATAAATATATACATATTGTACAGTACATAGTATGTCACTATATGAGCGTTGAACTGTACAGTTTCTTTGTCTACGCGACATAATTTTTCATTCACAGATGGCACAACCGTTTTTACTGTAACAGGTTGGCCAGGTTCTACTACAATGTACCTAACATTTGCAAGACTTTAGGCTGGTCTTTTCCTGTCCTGAAAATTCTGCTCTCGCGACTCGCTACAAGGAGTAATGATGCCTCCGATCGAGGAGAGACTCAATAGACTGTTTGAGCAGTGAATGTGACTCAAAAATTCCAAGCTTTGAGCGACCATCAAAGGAGAGCCTTTGGTGATGAGGCGCTGGGCGTGAGGGTGTCTTCTGTTTTGTCGGAAACGTTTTCCTTGTGGGACTATGAAATGCTCGATCGATGTACTTTTTGATGCTCAAGCAGAGAAATGCTTTCACGAAAGGTAGAAATCAAGCTGAAGGAACGCCAAAGGCTCACAGTACACATGCAGCCACAGTTACAGACACCCAGGTACACACACTAATAAGACTTGAATTGTGTTGGCAGAAGTGCGCAAGTGGTCAATGCGAATGAATTATCGAGATTAGCACTTTTGCTGGCTCATGTGCAATGATTCGTTTTGAACACATCACAACACCGTTGAAGACGCTTATAGCGCAAGCACGATGGGGAAGCATTGCGGCGGATCTCGCGAGGTGGAAAAAGCCACATCGGGAAGTGTCCAAAAGTTCCCTTCACTGTCCAAAAGTCATCCTTCCGTGTTTTCTTCGTAGTTTGGTTTTGAATCTTAAAGGCCAAAGCATTAGGTCGCGTTAGGTTTAAGCCAGCGGTCATGGAGACTGATGACCTTTCAGAAAAGCATCTCTTGCACTTGGTTTTGTGCGGCCAGAGGTGCTTGGATTGAATATGCTGTAAATACACACCGCCCATTTGACGCTGGAAGGTGGTCAACAAAGTTCAGTTGGATGGCAGTTGGAGTTTCCAAGCCCAATTCAAAGCCCTGCAAGCGTGCAATCAAGAGGACCGGTGTCCTTTTCCAGAGATGGCAAAACATCGAACACCTATCCACGCAGAATGACGATGGATGACCGGTGTTTGAAAGTTTGGAGATGTTGAGCAGGATGACTTGTCCTTCAAGACCAACTCGGTGAAAGAGGTTACTGATCATGGACGCAGTGAGGTGGGGATTTTGCCTTTACTGGAAGATACCAAACATTGGAGTGAATATGCCAGTCTGCGCTAACGGGCTCCAGGAACACTGCGACACAAGTGCCCCTTCCTTACTATTGTATCCATCCTCGTACGAGAAGGGCCTATAAAAAGTAGGGCCCTAGGGCCCAAAATCAGAGGGTCATCCTATAGAGATGTATTGTTTTTGAGCCTGGACAGGCCCTATGCATTTTATAGAAATGCAAAAATAGAGGTATGATGGTTGAGATGTTGCTGCAAGACCCTGTCGTTTTATAGATGTACATGTGCATGTTTTATTTCCACATGTTTTTTGGCTGATGGCATTCTAGAGACTCTATAAAATGATTTCCAGGGGTCGTGATGGAATCTATTGCTGCCTAGCTGGGCCTGGGCAGAACGTTCTATAGAGGTCATTGCTTGGACACTGATTTCGGATGTCGTGTTTTCTTTTCCTCAAAGACCCTCCCATTCTATATAGCACCCCTTTTATGAGCACCAGGCATTCTATAGATATTTTTCAGAGGCCCAGCGTTTTATATCTATAGAACCCCTTGTCCAAGCCCTCCTGGCGTATTCTTACAGGGATTTGTATCCTATGTATATATATATAATTAGCAACCTGTTGTTCAGCTGCCTTTCGGCAATGGTTTTTTGTTCCTTCCCTCTCCAGTTTCCAGCAGGCCATTGCGCGGCTTCAGAGTGTTCTTGCAGAGTCACCAGCACCTGTTAAGAAGCGAAAGGCCCATCTTGCTGGAGTCCAAGGGTACACCAATGCAAAGAACAACGAATCACAAGAGACTCCATCAATTTGACTGATGAATATCATTTGAGCGGCAATATACAGTATTCATGTTTTCAGTCCTAGATATTCACCATAGCTTCAATCTGGACAAATGCAAGACGCAAGACGTTATCCTGGCTTGCTGTACACTGGACATTGAGTTCCATTTGTATTCGTCTCAATGTTGCAAAAGGAGAGGCTCTAGGGAAGGCCATTTCATTTCACACTCTACAACAGATTAACCAACCGAAAGCTCACTTGATTGGAAGCAAAGCGTTCAAGTTCTAACCACTTGTAAATCATTTGTAGTTGATTTGCACTAGAGCTTGCTTTTGAGAGAAGGGTCAGGGCCAAGAAGGTCACAAGCTAAAACTAAGTGCCTTGCAAGAAGTTCTTCACAATAGCATAGCAGCGCTGTGCCGACATGTTGGCAGCACGGTGAAGCTATCTAGGAATACAGTTACATTTGAATCTCAACCTAGTTTTGCAGTTTGCCATCCAGGCCGATGAGATAGAGAATGGTGCGAACGAAGACGATCGGAAGATTGTAGAGGCCATTTACGTCAGAACCAGTTCTCAAAGTTTCACAAATACTATCGGAATGTTTTCGGAGATGCACTATGCAACAAGTTTTGCTTGGCCAAGGCCTTGAATGAGGCTGAGGCAGACTTGCGTACTGGCCTTGACATTACAGACATGTGATTTGCAGTCTCGTGGTGATACAGGGTTATTCGGAGTCTACTGCAGGCAAGAACGTACGGACTTTGTTGGCTCCTTTGAAGGACTTGGTTTTGCGTCTGTGTATAACACACAACTGACACTTGAGTAAAGTGGCGATCAAACTTGCCGTAGACACGGCAGAAATAGTTTGAAGATTTGAGAGTTGGAGAGGCACATGGAGTGTCATGGAGGGCTTCTCTTGTTGTGATTGACTTGCCAGAGTTTGCTGGGGTTCTAGGCATGATCCGAGTTTCCTCCATGAGTGTTTGTTCTGCCATGTTCTGCCAACAATTTCCAGTTCTTGAAAGAGAAAGCGCCAGGAACTGGAGAAGGTCGCTGGGCGCAGCGAAAGTGATGCTGCAGCTCTGGCGATTTTCCGACAGCTCCGGCAGTTGAACGTTACCGTAGAGTGCTTGAAAGCTACAAAGATACCTGGCAAATCCTGGCAATACATTCACTGAAAGTTCATGAAAGATCTGTTGGATTTTTATTGGGCAGTCTCAAACAAGTGGGCCAACATGGACAAGAGAAATATCAGAACTCGATCCTTTGGCACTTCACTCGGAGCCAAGGATTGCAGCAGAGCTCAACAAACCATGCTGGCGAGGTAGCCAAGCTGCACCCCGTGTGCGCAGTGCTGCTACAAATCTCATCAAGGGCTGGAGGAGCATGTACAGGCTGCCCGAGCTTTGCAGAATTATGCAGAATGTATTGTAGCTACTCCGGTTGGTATGGTTAGTGGAACTTAGCTCGTGACCACGTCACCAAAAGAAGACGTTTCAAACGGCGCTCAGGGCTGAAACTGGAAAGAAGGATGGCGCACTCGAGGCCTCAAGGGCCAGACAAGTACGCATACAGGCTGTCGACCTGGAGGCTTGGCCATTGCCGAGATCGGACGAGTGAGACAAGCATGTTTCAGCAAAATTAGAGAGGTTTGTCAAAGCCCGCTCCCCGTGCCTACTCAATTAATTAGGTAAGTGAGAGGTAGCTAGTAGGTACAGGAAAGATCATTTAAGCCCCCCCGGTCCCCCCGCCTGAGGGTGGGGGAAGCTTCCTTGAAGAAGCGTTCGCACTATTCATTTGGTTCCTAGATTTTTTGGAAAACTTAACTAGTGGCGTCCTTGCTCCTAGTAGTAAGGCCAGCAGCCCCTAGTAGCGTCCTTGCTCCTAGTAGCGATGCCCTTGCTACTATAAGTTTGACACAAGTTTGGACGCTCTCACGCCGTGAGCGGACTCATGGACGGCACAAGTTTGGACGCTCTAGACTCAGTTCCTGAGACTGTTTTGCAGGAAAAAGTCTTTACGCAGACCCAAAAGATGAACGAGTATTGCCGTATCATCGAGCTGGTTTGTCAGGCTTGGCACCAGAAGTTACATTGAAGCAGAGACAAATTTGATCAATTTGGCCTTTGTTGTTTATTTGCCATGCTTTCAGGATCTGATGCAGTGCAGTGACATCAGTCAACGTCTTCTACAAGGATGGTTGCCTCCTAAAAGAACAAGAATGTTTGATTGCATGACTCTGTGTCAAAGATGACAACCATTCAGAACCTGATAGTTCTTGCACTGCCTTCGAATGTCAATGCCATGGTATGTTGAAACCTTTCTGACACTTTTGGACAGTATGGAATGATGCCGAACTCCAAAAGTTGCTCATGTTAGCTTCATTGAGTATACTACTGGCGTACTCCAATGTGCTCGAGCACTGTGCCAGGCACCCTTTCTGGGGATGACCTTGTGACCAAAAATGCTGGCCGCATGCGCATCAAAGCTCGAGCAGTCGATGTCATTGATGTGGAGGCAACAGCACCAGCTGATTTGTGTGGAAGACTCTTTAAACATGTGTCATGTGTGTGTGTGTGCTTTGCCTTAATTCATCTTAATTCATTCTCCTACCAGCCCCACCTGCTCCCTCATCAAAACTTCAACCAGGGTCTCCCACCGAGTGATCCAACAGAGTTGGACCCGGTTCTCCGGATCACTTTGGCAACCCCAAAAGGCCGAGAAGTGGAAAGAAAGTCAAGACATGTCAAGACTGAAGGACGATTAATTAATGAAGAAGAATTGGTCTCCAACCTACGCGATGGCCACCAACCCAAGAGCGATGGCCTCCAACCTGGCGATTGACGATTAACACAGCAGAAGTATATAGACGTCCGCTTATTTCCAACCTGCCATAGCAGTTCGGAACTGATCTGAGTAACAAGGGTCAATGTGTCGTGCTGTTTCATAAGTGCAGCTTTGCAAGGTAACTCTGATCGGACACTAAGGAATGTACTGCACTTCTAATTCTTCTAATGTGTGTTTCGGGCCGTTGATTCAACGAACCTGAATGTGCCCCCAAACCTAGAGCACTGATGTTCCTGAGAAAATCATCAATGAGCTGTCCAGGAGAAAGAAGAGTCCAACCTTTGAGTGCAGAAAAAGATGACTGAGCGGATCCGAGCGGTGAGTGGTGTTGCTATTCTCATTCCCCACTTCCATGACAATGATGCTTTTCTGTCACATTCCTTCTTTGCTCATCCAACATCTGCAGGCCACGTGTGAACTTACTACCAGGTCCAGGAGCTGAAGACAGGCGATCGGAGACGTGTTTTGTGACGACTCATGACAATAGCGCATGTATGTGTTCAATGCGTGTTCATTGTTCTAGCAGTTGAAGAATATCTTGAGGTGAAGGGTAAAAAGGCTCATTAGGGTGTGAGATCAAATGAGATGTTTGCCTAGGTCTGCCCTACCGCTTACTAGTAGGAAGATCTCCCGCTAACTAGGGACGTGTTTTTTTCTCTAGGGTTGGGTCTGGAATGCCTACCCCATGCTTAGCCGTGCTAATAGCAATAACGGTGTAAGTTTATCATGTTTTCTCCAAGTCCTTCATGTGAGTTCCTTCGGCAGGACGAGCAGGTCCAGAAGCCCCAGAGGGTCTTCAGGCAAATCAGAGCCCCTGACAAGTTACCAATCAGTGCTTGCAAAGCTTAAAAATGTCTCCGACGCAATGGGCCTCGTGAGCTGCGCGTGAGCTGCAGGTGAGCCAGTATGTGCCGCAAGTGCCACTCAGCTTCAGGGGTGCTTCACTGATGCCAAGTGTTCGGAGTTTCAGTCGAAGCAGGCATTTTAGTGGGACCTGACATTTTGATGCATTTTGCAGTTCCGAGTGGAGATCACCGAGGCTGAGTCAAGCTCCATGGAAGAAGGGGAGGAGGAAGAATTTGAGGAGGACGAAGAGGAGGAAGAAATGGAAGAAGACAGTGACGAGGCTCGGCTAGAAAGTTGCCGTTTGCAACACGTTTGTCGAGATATTGCTCTGAAACAATTTGGTGTAGCCCATCATCCAGCTTTGCCACAGCACCCTCACTCCCACATGGAAAAGATATGTATCTGTGGGGAACAACAGACGAATCAGACAAGAATGTGAACGCTTCATGCCGATGTTGGTTATTGCACTAGCTGTGCGAGTTCTTGGTACTTGAGGACATGCACAAAGGAGCCAAGTCAAGGAGAAGCACATTTGCTGCAGTCAGTACCGTGTTGGTGATGGCTGATCTCAAAGCCAATAGGATGTGAAGCATGCGCATTGAATCAAGTGTTCCCAGCTTCTGTGACGAGAGACTAAGGGACAAGCCGTGGAAGCAGCGAGAGTAGCGATGGGGACGCGCCCATGAGCCAGGACAGTCGGAAAGTGTTTGTTCCTAGTAGCTTCTTGTTTACTAGTAGTAAGGCCAGGAGCTGCTAGTAGCTTTCTTGCTCCTAGTAGTGATTCCCTTTGTTACTAGTAGCGTCCTTGTTCCTAGTAATTATGTCGGGCATAAAATGTTTGCTTACAGGTACTGTAGGGAATGTGTCGTGCGCGCTGACTGATGGTGGATGAACAGCTGGACTGTTTTTTTGTGATCAAGTCATGGGTGGCTCTGTCCGTTTTGCTGTTGTACAGCATATGGTCATAGAGTCATACATGGTCCATTGAGTCTGAAGGAACATAATTTAGGTATACCATCATGGTATACCTACAGCTATCCATTCTACATCATGCTGCATGCTACAAATCCGACACGTGTAGGTGAAACGAGATGAAATGAGATCTATGCTGCAAGCATGCAAACAGCTTCAAGCTGCCCTTAGCCGGAACCACCAACTAGATAGTCTCTTTAACCTCTCCGAAATCAACTGCAAGGCGCAAGTTGAAGAGAAGCTGGAGAGGCAGCATAGCTTTAGAAATGAACTCAGATGGTCACTGATTTGAACTGAAGTAGCATCACATAATGCCCGCAGTTCCTCGCTGATACTCCCTTCAATTTGGAGGCTGCTGAGCAAGCTCAAGAAGACAGAGAGGAGTGTGCCAAATGGTACAGATCTTGGCCTTCCTCAGAGCACAGAGCCAGCAAAGCCGGCTGAGGATACAGGTCCTGTCGGAGAGAATCCAGCCGAGATCAACCACGACGCCCACGAAGCGAACGACGAAGTCAACGGCGAAGTGAACAATGAAGTCAACGGTGTTAATGATGAAGTAAATCGTGAATTCAGTCCAGATGAAGATTCGGATCGGGAAGTGCCAATGGCACACGTGGAAGATCAAAGGAGAAATCACGCAGAGGAGCCGGCTGAGGCACATGCTGACGATTCGAGGCAGACTCCGGGGAATGGTCCGGCTGAAGCAATGCCGATTGAAGGAACAGACGTGGAAGTTGCAGAAGATGCCGCACTTGGGAATCCTGTGGATGATATGGATCATCATGAATCCTGCTGTACATTAAATCCCGATTGAATTCAATGTGCATCGAAAAATGGCATGGAGAATCCAACAAATAGAATCCAATATCAAGCTTTCACAAGCCGAAATGACTCAGGGTTCGACATGTTTAAGGTTGAAACTCGAAACCCATTTTCGGGAGTTTAGGCAAAAGCTTCAAAAGGCAATACGTTAATGCACGAACCTTCGAAGTAGCAGTAGCAGTGTTTCGGAAAGCTCTTCCCAAATTTTGTCTCTAGGTTGCAGGGAACCTTCAAGACGAGGCTCAATTGGAAAGGACACCGCAAGTGCATCCAATTTGAAATTTGGACGTAAAGCACGGACACCCACCTCTGAAGTTTACCTAATTAGGAATATGTTTCATTCCATGCTTGTGACCTGCCATGGAGCATGGGAAGAAAAATTAAGAGGAAGAGGCAGGCATTCGGCTGCTTGCAAAAGAATTGCCAGAAGAACTGGGCCAGCCTGCGGTAACCCTTATATTGTATGATCTAGCGTGGACCAAGCGTGACGTGAGCTCTCGTTGTGGTGCTGTGTTTGATTGGTTGCAGTGATGCGCCATTGTTGTTGCTCTCGTTGCGCAAGGGGAATTAATATATATATATATAAATTGTTTGGAGGCGGCATGCTTTGCGTGTGCCGAAACCTTTAGGACATGTATTCATGAGAAGAAATTCAACGAATGAATCCAATATATGAAGAACAAATTGGCATTACGGAAACACAATCCCGTTTATATAGAAATTATTGAATATTCTATTTAAAATATTCAAATTTAGAATTAAATATTTAATATTTAAGACATAATAAATAAATCTAAATATATTTGATATAAATATATAAATATATATGGTTTGATATAATTATGTATATATATTTATTTTGAATATTATAAATTATTTAAGAATTGAAATAAAAATTTGATATTTATTTTATGTTAATATATTTTCTTATAAATATTATGTTTTTTTGTATTTTGATATATATATATATACCTGGAGCCTGAGTGATCGTTATTTTGGAGGATTAACTTCCAAAATATGGTTTTTTCCTATCAAAATAAAGGTTAATTAGGCTCTAGGTATATTTATTTATTTAAATTTAATAATATTGGGGAAATTCGATTATGAAAAAAAAAAATAATTTAAAATTTGTATATTTATTTATATAATCTATTTTTTGATGATTTTTTAAATATTTTTTAATTTTTTGGATTAAAATATTTATTTATTTATTTTTTAACTATAATTAATTGAATTTTATGATATTGTTGTATTAAAGCGCCATTTCTTTCGGATTTGCGGTGCGATGCTATATTTCGATCGTTCTTATATTGCTACTCGTATTTTGATTTTCGATTGCGTTAATTTTTATTTATTTGAGTTGTTTAGTTTTAAGTGCGGAGAATGTTTTAGTCCTACCGAAATATTTGCAATTTCGAGGATTCGGCGCGAGGGTTATTTATCCGGCCTTAGGGATGGATGGGAGTAGCTATGAACGAGACCTTTTAGGCACTCTTGCAAAGTGCCATGAGATATGGGCGTCGTCGGGCCTCGGCCTTGTTAAATCACGCTTACGATGCAATCGATTAAAACGCTCCTATGCTAGAGCCTTGAGGGAAGGATATGCCATATTTAAGGGCAAGCAATTAAATCCCTCCAAATCCCATTTCGAATTAAATAACACCTTGCCAAAACCCCACAACCTCGAATGACCAAACTAGCACCAACTCCTCCTATGCCTGGACCGGGCCAATTTCGAATGTTTCAATGGAATGCTTCCCGCTCGATTGAATATCATTCATGGTTGCAATGGCGTGATGATTCCCCCTATGACATCATCGCTATCCAGGAATCTGGCTGGTCAATGACCAATGAATGGAGCACCCAGCGTTGGCATATCGTGCATTCAGCCGACCGATTTTGCTCCATCTTATTCATGGTGCGTACAGCCCTCGTCAGACAGGATCAAATTTCGATTGCACACCATATTTATGGAAGAGTGCTTCAGCTACGATTGAACCTTCATCGAGCCCATGATTTTGTGATCGTTTACCAACAGGCTTGGTCCATGCAACATGGAATACGACAGATTCTCTCGAAACGGCAACATGTGTGGCAGCACTTGCAACATTGTTTTGAACGCCCGCCTCATAGCAACCAGATCGTAGTATGTGGCGATTTCAACACCCCCCTCCCACACATGCCATACAAAGTCCATATTGCCGATCCTAAGTATGCACAGGCGGCCCAGAAAAACAAATAGACGTTCTCCAATCTGCTCCAGCAGTTCGATCTAGTTGCATTCAACTGTCATGATCATTTTCAGCCGACATTTAAGCATGGCACTCATTCAAATCGAATAGATTTTGCATTGATGCGGAAACCACAGATCAGTTGGCCATTGATTGCACCCCAACTGCTCACAGATTTCGTATTCAACTTCGGCCTTCTTGGCCCCCATCATCATCCACTGACTTGGACCATTCCCAAACCGATCGTCCTTTTTGACCGCCAACGTATTCGACAGGACATGAAGCAGAACACTCCACGGGGGCAGGGATTCTATTGGGAGGCCAGGCAACACTTGCATTCGAGCATTGCCCAAGACCCGTCTTTGTTTCCTCAATTGGAGAGTATTTTCACTAATTTATGCAAGGCATGGCTTCCCAAAC